TACGTACGTACTACGTACGTACGTACCGTACTACGTACTACGTACTTACGTACTACTACTACTACGTACTACTCTCTACTCTCTCTACTCTCTCTCTCTCTCTCTCTCTCTCTCTCTCTCTCTCTCTCTCTCTCTCTCTCTCTCTCTCTCTCTCTCTCTCCCCTGTAGTACATGTCCTAACACTTCGTCAAACTGGAGCACTCATTGATATGAGTAACATTTTAGTCACCGAGTAATTAGGTCACTGATTGTTGGATAGGTATTAATGGATAGGTAAATCAATTGGTAACTTGTGTAGATGTGATATGAGATAAAATGATTAAAGACTATCTCTAATTAGTGACAGTACTGAAACACATTTGGTTCTTCATGAAATTCAGGATTGATAGTTACTTTTATGGAAGGTAATTAAAGTTGAACGTGAACTCCCATATCAGCTAATATATGATGAAATCATATGAGCCCAGTTGGAATCTGCTAACATGGCTCTGTGTTTGTACGGAACTAGCTTAATGAACAATCATGAGTAGCTTGTGCAACTATAGTCACATGAAGAATGCTCCCAGTGAGAAGGATTTAACTGAATATTAGGTTCTTCTTGTGTTTCTTGTATTAGGACTGAAAATGTCTCAAAAGCCAACTAATCTCGATAAACTATCAATTATGAAGAATGCTTTTAGAAAGAAGGATTTAAACAGATCCATTTCTAATTGAGCTTCTTATATGTTAGGACTGAAAATGTTTTGAAAATCAAAGAGTGAAGCAGTTCTTCTTAAATATTCACCCGTCTCATTGAGATGTGCCGTGATTCTAAAACCAGCTCAAATTGCAATTTCATCACAAGCATGCATTGAGTTCCAAAATCATTCCAAGTCAAATTCTTTGCATGTTCTTTGAGCATGCTCAATCAGGTAATCACTAGTTCAGTGGGAAGCAGACAAGAGGTGACATTCCCAATGCAAGAGGTTTTTAACAGGTACATGTCAGATCTAACACATGGAAGGGCGTCCTTGATAACTGAAATGCACAATAGAATTAGTATCCATATAGGGTCATGGATTTACAACATAGATTTCTGCAGTTTAAATAATTCATGAAATACACAGCACATAAAAAATATCTGTTGCTGACCTAAGACCTTAAAAGAATTGCAGAATTGATGTCTGGTAAAAGAAAAATAAATATGTGTTTCTGACATAAGACTTTACAAGAATTGCAGAATTGATGTCTGGTAAAAGAAAAAGAAAATTGAAGAGATACCAGCAGGCAAGATGGGCAAGGAGGATGGGAATTAGCAGAGGCAAAGCCTAAACCACACACCCGAGGTAGCGCAGTAAGGTGAAGGTGAGACGAGTGACGAGGTAAGTTTCAGCAGCAGCGTGACCCACATCTTGCCTGAATGATTGCTGGCGAGGTGGAGTGGGAGATGAGGTTGGGGTGCCCGTTCCAGTGCCTGTGCCTGTGGCCCCTCCTCTTCTCCTCCTCTGCTGGAAAGCAATAGCAGGGGCAGAAGAAGAGCGAGGGAGAAATGGCTCCGTTTCATCTACCTTCTTTTCATCATCATTACTAATATCATCTTTTGAAGAAGAACAGCAGCCATCAGCAGCATCCTTGTGGTAGTTATTGAATGAAACTAAGTGCTCGCCATCCCCGATCGCATCACTTTTTCCTCCTCCTCCCAAAAATGACGAGTGGTGCTGCTTCTGCTTGATAATGTTGGGTAGTTGTTGTTGCAGTTCAGATCGAGAGGAACAAGGAGACGGGGAAGAATAAACCATGGCCTTCGCAAGAAGAAGAAGGAAGGGAATAATTATATTAGATTTGGAATTACAGCAGCCGTAATGAATGCCAGAGCGAGAAAAAACGCTGGTTGTTAGAGTCGGAATGCCACCCTCAGATGGTGGTGGTGGTGGTGGTGGTGGTGCACCTAAACGACAGTAACCGGCGAATGCAAGCCTCGATAAACGAGGTAGGGAGGATGTTGATGATCGAATAAGGCACATCGGTCCACCGTCGCACACCGGGATATCATATTCCAATTCCAAATTACATCACATCACATGGCCTCGATTTTTCATGAACACGAAAATATTATTACAAGACATTTCTTCATCATAATCCTCCTGCGACAACCAGTCAACTCTCCCACACCTTCTCGAGAGAGACTGGGTCACAGCGGTTTAGTTGCTGATTAGTCGAGAGTCTAATCCAGTTAAACTCGCCACCTCGACGCGTGATATCCCCGTCCAATTAGAAAGATGTCTTTTCATCGATGGTGAGTCAGACTAACTTATGCCGCAAAACAACCTCATCAATTTTGAAAAAGGTTTTTGGCTATTACTTTAATTTTATTAGGGCAATAATTTTATGCAATAATAATATGATGCAATAATTTTAAAAAATTATTATATGGTCATCAGTTTGATTCAAAATTTGAAATTTACACTCTTTTCATTTTAACGAACAATCACAAAAAAAAAAAAAATTGAAAACACAACTTAAAAAATATTTATTTAGCCCAATTAATATAGGCCGTTCATTTTGGTGAGATGCTTAGATCTAAGCCTTTGAATGATTTTTTCATTTTTAATTATTTTGGATGGCTTTATTATTATTAGATAAATAATGTTTAAAAAGAAAAAAATGATTTTGAGTTTATAAAGGCTAAGATCTTGAAATTCACAAAATGAATGGTCTAGATTCATTTTTAGAAGGAATTCATTTTGACCATATCTAGGGTTCAAATTGAACTATTTTTTTTTTTAGAGATTGATTATTGAGATAAAGAGAGTGTGTGTAAAAAAATTGGGGTCATACAAATATCACATACATGATTTTTTAGAAGTGTCGTTACATTATACTATAGTACAATGGTTGTATTGGATCATTGCTCATTTTATTATTACATAAAAGAATAATGTAAAATTAGTCAATTATTGGATTTGGGTTTTTTTTACCGAATCATGTTTTTATTTCGGACCAGATCAGCCAGGCACCAATAGGCGGTCTGACAGATTAGACTGGCTAGTCCAATCTGATCGTGATAGCTGTAGTTTAGAGAACTTTTAGATCCTATGGCATCCAATCAAGATACATGGTGAACATTGTCTCAAACATAACTAATGCTTTGGTACACACAATTATTCTATCAAAAAAATCTTTGACAAATAATAGAAAGATAATGAGAAAAACCAAACACAATTCATACCTACCTAGTACTTTCCATAGATAATCTACATCAAAAAAACCTAGGTGTATTGGAGCCTTGATCCCGCAAGACACATTGTGTTCTAGGCATTGCAATTGTATCAGGACACGGTTTCTACGAGTCCATAAATGAGTCCACTCTTTAAAATCTATTTTTGAGATGGATTTTCGGACCTAATTTTGAATGACACGTAATCTCTAACATGGAGATCATGAATATGAAAAAATAAATAAAATTTAAAAATTAAAAATATTAATTTTATAAAAACACATTCGGACTGGTAGTTTCATTTTTTTTAGATGGACCACCCATTTGTATTCATCTTTAAGATAGATGCTTTATAATGCAGGGGAACAAATGTAGAAATGCAGAACGTGATGCATGGAACAATTTTTCATTGTATTAGTTTAAATAAACTCTTGAAATAAAAATGACAGATATTAGAGTTTGTTTCAAAAGAAACATCATACTACGGGAGTATGCTATTGCAGGGACGTATAAATCTATGTAAAATCTTTACACGTAGCATAACCAACGTATAAGATATATATTTTTCATTATCTCAATTGTCCGATCTAAATGGATTGTTATGATGGCTTCAGTCATAATGTTACATCCGATATTGAATAGATGAGTTAAAGTATTTTTAAATTTTTATTTTATAAATAGTTTTAGATGAAATTTGTACCATTTCCACTTCTCATAGGAGTACACAAAAAAATAATAAAAAAGGTACATATATGTAAAAAAATAAATTACTGAAATAGTTAAGCTACTTTCAAGGGTCTTTTGGTTATTTTATTTTATTAATAGCTGCATCACACCTCAAATTTATGTCAATATTATTTATATGCCAATAATGCCACACGTTTCTCTCTACTATAATATTTTTTTACATCAATGGCTCTTAGTGCAACCAAAATATGGACATTTTAAAAATGGAATTACGTGCTATAAGGCAATTTAACTCAAGAACATGGAGGTTGTTTACTCTTAGCCATCAAATGTGTCATCTAAAATGAAGTGTGTTAGATATTGAAAAGCTCTTCTTATAACCCTCAATTTCTAGGCATGACAATAGCTGAGGTCATTGGTCGGGGGGCCCAATTGACCCATTCCTATTACTATTGATTACACATTCAATCGAACAACTAGTTTCTACTCGTTTGATTGTAATTTGGAGTTTTGGTTGGTCCGATCCAAAATAAAAATAATATCTTGTTGATAACTATTAAAAAACCAATATTTGATTAGTTTTAGTCGATCAAACAAGTTGGTTTTGA